GCATCTTTCCCTACCGAGGCAGAGGAAGAGGCTGGGACAATCTCTTTTTTTCTTTTTCTTCTTTTAAAGATTTATTTATTTATTATGTACACAGAAGAGGGCACCAGATCTCATTACAGATGGTTGTGAGCCACCATGTGGGCGCTGGGAATTGAACTCAGGACCTCTGGAAGAGCAGTCAGTGCTCTTAACCTCTGAGCCATCCCTCCACCCCTGACAATCTCTTTTCAACTTACACTGGACTTAGCCGGGGAGAGCAGTTCTGAGTGAGTGGTCTCCTGGGGCCTTTGTGACAGGTCATGCTTACGTATGTGGCATAGGGGTGGCCCCCCAAAAGGTGCTCCCAAGTGTTACTGCCTGAGTGAGTGGAGGAGGGCAGGGTCCCACCTGCTGCACGGGGCACACGCTGTGTTCTGTTGAATGGTTATAGAATGTGTGGGTTGGTCTCCAGGGAGCCTCTGTCCTCTTCCCATGCCTCTGTTCTTTCCCAGCCCCTCTCAGGGTAGAATCCAAGGGGCTGGTGGGCACGGAGGAGAATCAGGACCTTGCAGCTGTTCCTTGGTGGTAGCTTGACTGAAGCCAGGGGCTTCGAGGATTCCCCCGACTACGATGAACTTGCCATACAGGAGGGGCCTGAGGTTCAGGAACTGACACCCTTGGGCTCTGCCGATTAAAAATCTCTGTGATCTTGTACACATTGCCCACACCCATACCCACACCCACACCCACACCCACACGGTGTCCATTTCCTACTGTGTGAGAGGAAGCTAAAACCAGCCTCTCGCCACCAAGGCCACCTTGCCAGTTGGGTTGAGGGACCACGGGATGCTTTCAGATCTGGATGCGTGAGGAGGGCTTCCGCATAGTCAAAAGGCAAACAGGAGCTGCTGTCCTCAGTACCCAGCACCTTGCTCGTCCCAGGCTCTCTCGGGACTCCCCGCTGCCCCCTGTAGCCAGACACAGAGGGATGGATGACACAAGGTAACACAAGGCCAGCCTCCCACCCCCAAGAGGACGCTTTGAATCAAATAAAGACAGCGTGGGCTCATTGTTTGCCACTCGGGCATCAGACTTAATTCTCCTCAGCTCCGAGAGTTCCTCCTTCCCCCGTCACAGCTCCTTATCTGCAGCCCAGCTCTGAAAGGGCACACTGACAGCTGGGGGTGTTATCTGCTGGAGGGGACCTTTTCCTTGGGTGTCTCCCAGATAAGACGTCTTATCAGCCCCCACGTCAGGGATGGTGCCAGAGCATTCTAATCACTGAGGCTCGAGACATTTCCCCTCCCCCTCCCCCACCCCACCCCCCTTTATTATCAAAGTCACAAAAGGCCTTGAGCTTATAAACAGTCCGATTTGCAGAGAGTGTGGCACTCCAGATGGTCCCCGGCGGGGCCGGACGGTGATGATTATGTGCCGGACGGTTGAGGGACCCACCATCTGCAGATGGGGTGGGGCTGGGCAAGGAGAAGGCAGGCCAAAAGTCACGGGAAAGGCATGAGTGTTTTAGGTGCCCACTCCAGGCCTATTCCTGGCTTGCTGTGTAACCTTGTGCAGGGCCCTTGATGTCTCTGGGCTTTTTATCTCACACTAGCCAGTGCGTTTGGTGCAGCCATTCATTGGATGCCTAATTTTTACTTTATTTTTATTTGTATGTCTGTGTGAGGGTGTGGTGTGTGTGTGTGTGTGTGTGTGTGCGCGCGCATGCATGCACGCACAGGTGCCATGTCTGTGTGAGGGTGTGCCCTGTGTGTGCACGTGTGCTGTGTCTGTGTGAGGGTGTGCCCTCTGCACACACGGCACACCCTCACACCCTCTGAGGGTGTGCCCTGTGTGTGCACGTGTGCATGTCTATGTGAGGGTGTGCCGTGTGTGTGCACGTGTGTGTGTCTGTGTGAGGGTGCGTCACGTGTGCACCTCCAGGAGCTGGAGTGACATTGGGTGCTGGAAACCAAACTCGGGTCCCCTTGAAGAGCAACACACACTCTTAACTGCGGAGCCACCTCCCCAACATCACTTAGGAAATGATTATTCCTGGCCAGACCCTGGGGAGATGGAAACAAACAAGACATGGCCCTCGCCCCCTAGAGACCCACGGTCACAGACAGACAGAAAGACATGAAGTTGGCAATTACAACTTGGTGTGATTAGGGCTGTGGTGAGGGACACCCAGATGGCCAGCCAAGCCATCTGAAACAGCCCTGAATCAACATGGCTGGGCGGCAGTGCCACAGGCCCAGGGCTCCGCAGGTGCCGTGGTCTGGAGGTATGAGGCAGTTAGACAGGAGGGCCTTGGAGGGGTGGGGAGCCTTGAGAGACTGGGCGGCTGGAGGAGAGCTGGGCCAGGCCGAGAAAGTTGGTTGTGTTGGGAGAAGTTTAAAGGCCAACGTGTTCTGGGGTGTTCTGGGAACTTGAGGTGGGCATTTCACTCCCCATAAGGCTCGGCTGGCCCCTGGCTCATCTGAGACCTACCCCGCCCCTGTCCCCACAGCAGGACACAGGGTTTGGGGAGAATGGACCGTGATCTGGGAGACTCGAGGAAGAAGAGAAGCCCCCTCTCCACCTCCAGGTGAAGCTGGTGTCCAGGGCTATGTATGGGTCAGTCAACCTGGTTTCTCCAGAGGTGAAAAGCAGTAAGAACTGCCCTGAGAAGCTGAGGGGAGCCAGAATGGGACATCGTCCATTTCCTCCCAGCATGATGGCCCCCAGGGCCCCCAGACTGCCTGGACATCCTAAAGGCCCTGGGAGGCAGGCTGCCCTCACTCAACAGCTGCAACCCATCATGTCCTTTTTTTTAGCTGCAAGTGTGCTAGGATGGGTGGCCCACTGGGATCCGCTCATCCTGGAGGGAGGCTGGGACCCTGGCCTCCTGCACTCGGTAAGAGAACAGGTTGGGACCGTAGAATAATTTGCCTGGGTGGGGTGGTGAGGCTAGAAGATTCGTGGAGTGACTTTTACAACTCAGAGAGCACTCTCCAGCCAGTACAGGGACTGGGGGGACTCTAGGCTCCAGGCTCTGCCCTCCCTCCTCCCAGACAAACGCTGCCTGGCTTGTGGAGGACAGACAGCCCCTGGGGACCCCAGGTTCTGCGCCCTCCAGTCCGATATCACCTGTGAAGAGAAGGGTGTGGGCAGGTTTCTTGCATCGGGGTGGCCGGAAACAGATGCCGTGATGGAGAGGGGGGTGGGGAGAAATGGGCGGGGTCAAGGCAGGCGCCACCGGCCCCCTCACCTGAGTGTGTACCAGTCAAGTGTCCCCATGGACTGTCAACACGTAGGTTTCAGGGACACCCCCCCACACACACACACACCACGTGATGGAGTGTGACACTGGGTATATACTGCCTGTGCACAAGTGAGCACCTGCGGTGTGGGGGGAACCCGGCACCCTCGGTCTGAATGGGGTGGACTGTGGCCTCCAGGCTGGACTGTGGCATGTGGCGGTGGCCCCCGCAGGCCTGTTTCTGCCACCTGCTCCCATCCCGGGTCCCTGGAGAGCCTCGCTCTTGTCTGCAGTCAAGGACTTCCCTCCTGCAATGAGCCCCACTTCACTCCCTCCTTAAGCCATGTCATTTCTGCCTGATGGTAATGGCATATTTTAAAATTACCAGAAATCAAAGCCGAGAAGTGGGTATCGCTGCTTTTATTGCCTCGCTGTGTTAAGACTGGTGACTGGGGGGGAAGGGAAGAGCATCCCACCCTCCCCCACATCTATCCATCCCCCACTTCCTTTTTCTTTCTTTTCTTTTTTTTTTTATAGACAGTAATAGGAGAAAATTGGTTTTGAAACTGAATAAAAGTCCCTTTCAGAGGAAATCTTTACTCACGGGTACCTCTGCTGAAAGTAAAATAGAAGCATAATGAAAGGTGGTTACATGATTGTCTTTCATTTACCGAGAGGCCAGGACAGACGGGAGACTGCCACCGTCTCGGGGAATACAAGATTGGAATAATTGCGCTGTAACAAGGAGCTTGTTGTGAAATTAGTATCCTAAGAAAGTGGTGAAAAAAGGCTTTTCCTCATGAATACTTCATTATTAGAAGCAGCAGAATTCTGGGCTTCAGACACCTGTTTAGTATTAAATACCTTCCCTCTTTTCCCCTCAAACTCCCCCCCACCCCACCCCCCCGTCCCGCCTTTCCAACCAGCTCAGGATGGAGGCAGCCCAGGCCGGCTGCCAGGGACAGGGATGGATGGCAATGGGAAGAATACAAGGACCTCAGGGTACCCAGGCTGCACCCTTCTCTGTGGCAGAGAGAGAGAAAGGGTGGACCCCACTGGGACTCCCCCATCTTCCACGGGGGCCTCCAAGGCTGGCTGGTCCTGACCCCAGTGCTCAGGGCACCACACCCTCAGGAAGGTGGGCTTTGTGGGGAGACATGTGGGCTTCCTGTGCCCCCCTACCCCTAGTCTCTGGCGTAGGTAGATGAATAGCATCATGGGCTATGAGGAGGCCCATCTGAGCTGCCACCTAAGGGCTACTGGGGGTGACTCTGGCCCTACCCTTCCTACTTGGAGTGATCACAGTCAGGGTGGAGGACCCCAGGACACTACCCTGACATTTCTTCTCCAGGGGTACTGTGAGAACACCCCAAACAGGTGCTACATCAGTGACTTACGTAAACAGGGACACTGTACCCACTAGCCCTACCTGGCTACTCCTCCGGACCTCAAAGATGACCAGATGGGTCCCTTTTGGCCATGTGGTGGAAGGCCACCTCTGATCCCGTCCTGTGCTGCCTCAGGGGCACCTATGGATGCTTCAGTTTCCCCGTCTGAAGGAGATGGAATGTCTAGTCTGAACATCTGGCCCAAAGGCAGACATGATGGCACATGCCCCCGATCCCACCACCCGGGGGACTATATGCTGTGGGCTAGCCTGGACTACGAAGAGAGCAGTCTCAAAAACAACTGATCTCTGATGTTCCTTGGAGTGCTGGGGAGGGAGGGCAGGAGGTCGGCTTGGAGCAGCTCTCAGTGACCAGTGTCTCCCTCTTCACAGGGATCCTGCCGCAGAGCACGCCCCGCCCGGGGCTCCCCGATCAGCCATGCTGGCCTGTCTGCAGAGGACTCAGAACCCACCTGGCCAGCACCTGGCCTGTCCAAGCAAGAGCCTGGAGCTGCGCAAGTGTGAGTGAGACCCCGCCACAGCTTCCTGTTCCCTGTGCCCTCCTCTGTGCACTCAGTCCCGGGACTTGCTCTCTGCTCCTCGGGCTTCTGTAGAGCGAGCAAGCGAGCGAGCGGGTCATGGCCCAGTCTGACCCCCGTCTGGGGTGTTCATGCAGAACCCCTCCATTGAGATCCCTTGGGAGGCCTGGGCTCACCCCCCAGGGAGCCCACTCACCACATGCCTCCAAGTCAGAGCTCTGGAGCTGGACATGACTGTGCGCCTGGAACCCCAGCACCCGGGGGGGGGGGGGGGAGGCCAGTCTAGACTACATCCTTCATGCCATAACGTGGGGATGGGGACATGGGTCTCCAGCAAGGCACAACGGCAGTTTCCGCCCTGTAGCCTAGAAGCAGCTGTTTACACTGCTGCCTTTTCTTCAGCTATTTATTTATCTCGAAAGTAGCATTCTTGTCCAACATTCCTAAGGAAGGAATGAGAGGCCAAAGCCCCCGCCCCCTCAGAGGCAGCTGGTGTCCATTTCCTGTGTGCCCTCAGATGTTTTATGTGCTTTGGCAAATGCTCACACGTCTGATATGGCCCAGCACCTCACTTGGCCATCCATCCTCCAGGTCACCCGCCAAAGAGCTGCCTCTTTGCCTGTCCCTTTCTCCGGCAAGGATGGGCCGTGATTTATTTGGTTAACTCTCTGTTTAAACTGTCCACGACTTGTTGATTTGATAAGTGATGGGGCAATAAACCCTGTAGTCGCCAGGTGCGAACAGAGCGTGGGGAAAACTCTGGAAGAGGAAGTACCGGGGTCAGGGCACGGGACACACGTCCTCGCGCTGGTGGGTGTGGTCTGGGAGCTTCAGCGGTCACACCTGGGACAGTGTGCCTAGGTTCACTGTGTAGCTTTCATTTAGAACGACAGAAGTTCGGTGTCTCTGTGTCGTACCATGTGTTTCCATTTTGAACATCCTGTGAGTGAGTCTCCTGGTCGGTTTTTTGATGGGGTGGTGATTTTTGTCCATCTTTGTTGATCTGTGGGGGCCGCTGTATGGAACGCAAGAACCGCATGCCTCCCTAGCTTGTCTTTTGTCTGGATTCTGCCTCAGTTCGTCAGAACTCCTGTGGCTTTTGGGTTTTAAGTCGTACTTAGGAGACCCTTCCCTAAGCCTTCTTCCAGTCTCTTGTTTAAAAGTATATGACTTACGTGCTTCAAAAGGCTTCTCTCACTCTCTCTCTCTCATATATATATATATATATATATATATATATATATATATATATATATATATATATATATATAAAATTAAAAAGTATTTGCCCAGCACTTGGGAGGCAGATGTAGGCAGAACTCTGTGAGTTCGAGGCCAGCTTGGTCAGCCTATTGAGTTCTAGGCTGCCAGCCAGGGCTATGTAGAGAAATCTTGTGTCAACAAAACAAAACATTGTTTCGGAACTTACCAGTTGTAAAGTTTGAGGTTGAGATCTAAATGTAATCCAGAGTCCGCCCAATGCTGGTCTCTTCCCTTTCTGTTTGGCGACTCTGGGGACTGAACAGGTCCTCACTCATGCTAAGCCTGCTCGCTCGCCAGGTCCACCATGTTCTCATCCATACTTATCCCCTACCCCCGCCCCACTCTGTTTTCATTTTTTTTTGAGGCAAGGCCTTGTGTCGCCCAGGCTAGCCTTGAACTCATCATGTAACCAAGGATGACTTTGGCCTCCTGATGCCTCCACCTCCCCAGTGGCGGGACACAGGTCACACACACAGCCGGCTGTTCTCATTGCTGAGGGTTGGAAACTTTGGTGAGTTTAACTGAGCTGTGACCCTGTTGAGCTCTGGGTCTGCTCACAGACTGAGGTAGCATCGGGAGTCACATCAGCCTCATACCCAGTGACAGCGGCCCCCTCCCACCACCCCTCCTCCAGAGAGAAGTTCACCTCTTTCATAATTGACTCATTCACACTATGTGTGTGCTTTTGTGATTGTTTTTCTGTAATCAGATTTATTTATGTGTGAGCATATACACACGCGTCACCAGGGCACATGAAGAGGTCAGAGGACAACTTGTGGGAATCACTTATCTCCTGACATCATGTGGGTCCCCAAAATCAAACTCGGGGCCCTCGGGCTTAGTGGTTAGCACCTTTACCTGCGGAGCCCTACCGCTGGTCCTCCAAGGTCAGCCCCAGTGCAGCACGGATAACACGGATAGCTTCATGCTCCTTGGTAACCCACTCCAGATTTCCATGGTAACCTTGTTTGTTTATAAGCCTCCTAACCTGGGGAGCCACTTTCTTGGGGTGACATTCGTAGTGGGGCTGCATACCTTGACAGATGGATCCTGGGAGAAACGGTGTTTTGGAATGCTCTTTCCTGAGTGTTCAGACCTCCTCCTGTGTTCCCCGGGAACGTCCTAACAGTCACTGCATTTAGCTCCCACACATTTGGGGGCCAGTTCGCGTCTGGAGAGGAGAGCGTTTTGATGCACTGCTGCTCCCCTACAGAGGCTGATCCTGTGAACGTGGCTGGCTGCCGCCGCCGCCGCCGCCTTCTCGCATTCTGTTGCTAAAAGGGCTTTTCAGTGTAGTCCTCTAGATTTACAGCAAGCAGCGAAAATGGTCATTTATTTAATGCTTTGCCTTTTGGAGACCAGCCCCATGCAGTCCAGGCTGGCTTCAAACTTGCCACGTCAGTGAGAACGCTCTCCTCGCCATCCTGTAGGGAGGCGGGATTTCAAGTGTGCACCGCCATGCTGGTTTTTGTTGAGTATGTTTGTTGTTTTGAGACAGCGTCTACGTAGCCCTGGCTGGCCTGGAGCCCGCCATGGAGATCAGGCTAGCCTCAAACTCACCCCCTACCTGCCTCTACCTCCCCAGTGCTGGGATTAAAGGTGTGAGCCACCATGCCTGGCTCCTCCTATTTTGTTTTTTTGTTTTGTTGAATACGGTTGACTATGTGACTGTCATCACTCCAAAGAATACTGTGTGCGCCGACTGCCCTGCCAAGGAAACGCGAGCTGCGAAATGAGTATTTGATCAAGTTAAGTCCGTCTCCATTTT